GAGAGAGAGAGAGAGAGAGAGAGAGAGAGAGATGCCATGTGAGCGGATGCAGGAAGATACGGTGTGTTGATTCTCAAGCCAAACAGAATTGTAAGGCATGCATATTTAGGCCATGCTCAAAAAGCGATTTCGAGAACCACAAAAGAAAGGACATCATCAGAGTTGGCTGCAAAACGCACTGACCTTGTCCTTTAATCCGTTCCCGTAGTTTTACTGACGGAACGGGTTTAACCTTAAAGTTGGTCCAAGAACAGCCGACAAAAATCTTCACCACAGTCTAGGCATGTAGATCTAGTCCCTAGTACACCGTTTGCAGCCGTTATCATGACGGCCTTCTATTCGCATTTGTCATTTTATCTGTGGTCTCGTGGCACCTGCTTTGTGCGTCCTAAAYGGAGGAGATTACGCGGATTTTTTGTCCACTATGATCAGCAGATTACACAACAGCCCTACGCTTACTTCTACATGTAGCTGGGTTTTAGGCGAAGCTCCCTGCCGTCTTGACGAGGATGCAGGCCCTGGGGTTGCTGTGACCGTTGTTGAAGTTGCCBCCGTCCTTGTACTGCGCTGCGCTGATCTGCACCTTGATGCAAGTGTTGAGGAAGTGGGATAGGTTCTGAATGCTGGGGAAATGCCGAGACGCGATGTGCCTTCCGTTGCCGTAAATGTGGTGACCGCATTTGTTCTGGTCCCAGCTTCCGCCTGACAGCAGCGAGCAGTGTGCGGAGTTCACCGTCTGGACTGGCCTCGTGTCGGGCCTGCATTAACAACAAAACATATATACAAATATTTTTCGCAACAGTCAGCATCACGACGATCATAGCGTATCATCACCATATCAAGGAACAAGCAAGAAGCATCCATTCATGGGGGCATCGACCAATCAGAACAGAGGGATTGGAAGAAAAAAAGAAAAAGACAAATAACAGTTGGTGCATCGTTGCGCGAATCACTCGACAAAGACCGAGCTGGAGGAAACAGGCGCGTCGTTTTGGCGGAACCCAATTTTAAAACGTTGAGCTATCGACAGCCAAACAAGAAATGAAAAAACGGAGAAAAGCAGACGACACGAGGGGCAGGCGAGAACGAAAGACGAAAGAGGCGGAAAGAGCAGAAAATTTGAAAACAACAGAACAAATAAAACATAAACGCGCAGACGCGAGACAGTGGAAGGG